TCCTACTGCTACTGCTACTGCTACTGCTACTGCTACTGCTACTCCTACTACTACTACTACTGCTACTACGACGACTGCCACTACTACTACTACTACTACTACTACTACTACTACTACTACTACTGTTTCCGCTGCTTCTGTTGCTGCTTCCTTTGTTACCGTTGCCTCCACCCAGCCTGCACTGCACTTCAGAAAACTCCGGTGCTTTCTGTTTCCTTGTGCAAAACGACAATCCAGAGCCTCAATTGCTAATCCCTGAAGCCTCCAGAGCCTTAAATTCTGATTTGAGGTCCGACCTGGGCCTGGCACCGGGTGCGGTGATCACAGCCAACATCACTGTAACACAAGGCAGTGCAGCACGGAGCTTAGCTCTTCGTCGGATGTAATCTCGTTGCGTAGCACCGCTCGGACCTTGTGTTGTCCGAGCTGGTTTCGGGTGCAGCCCTGCTTGTCAGCTTGTCTCGTGTTACTGAAACTGAAAATGACCTCAGGTCCTCATGCTTTTCACCAAAGCAGAGGCTGATGCAGTCCTCTGGAATCGGTGATTTCGTGGACTAAAGCAGAGCTTGTCTTTCATTGTCAGTTGCTTTCGTGGGAAAGATCGCTGATGAAACTACCTCAGCAAGATCTGCAGAATGCTACCTCTTACTTTCGTAGGTCCGGCACTCAGACACCTGCACTGAGCGGCTTCTCACAAAGGGTTTTTCGGCACGAAAGAGCAGGGTCGGCTCTGGTTGCCCTGGACTGAAAGAACCAGAAAATCAAAATGGACCGAGTCAATGGAGACAACCATTTCGATATTATCTCTCTGGAAGGACCTGTCTGCTGCACGAAGGTCCCGATTTCACTGTGTTACCCCTGTTTCAAACCAGGATGACAGTGCCGGGCCCAAAGCCGGAACGCTATGTCGTCGGGATCCCGGTGCCATTTTCACGTTGGCTCCGTGAAGCAGAGCTACCAGCTATCGGCAGCTATCGTGCCATCGTGGAACTGCCCTTGCTGGGCACGTGTTTGTTCCGAGCACGTCGTGTCTTGGGAAGGGATGATTGGCCGGAAGACAGACCTTGATGAGTTCTCACGACTCTTTCCGAGGTTGGTCTTTTCCACAGGCGCGGAGCTGACCAGACGTTTGAGGCGGATGGAGACTTGCCACCGCGAACGAGCATGACAAACGTTACAGTTGTCTTGGCATTGACTCGTTTAGGGCAACAAGGTCACGACAGCGTACACCAACCCCCTGATATCAGCAGACTTCAAGAGAAGCTTATGATAACCCAAGCTGAGCAGTCAGCATTGTCTTAAGTTTGAAACCAGGCACTCATTCCCCAGAAAACTGACGCAGCAAGGACATCGGCTTGAAAACTTGAGGGTATTCAGGTTCTGCAGCCTTGGTGGAAGTCTCCAGGACTCGCAAAAGCGCCTTTGGAAGTTGAGCTTGTTCATTCTTCCAGAAGGGATTTGTGCCGTGCCGCAGATAAAGACGCTGACCATGTGACTATGGGGGTAGAATCAGCAGCTAATTCAGCTGGGCTCTTTGTAGGCATTCGCTGCAGCATGCTGCATCCGTTTTCTTGTCTCGGGCAGCGCTCGCTACTTCATAGGGTTTTCTTCACAAGGTCGCCCACAGGTGACAAGCCAGCGACAAGCACATTCTGGGCACACGTCATTGCGTCTCGAACAGAATGGGATAGATTGAGCATGACACAGAATCGCAGAGTCGACCTGTCGAATCCAAGTAGAACAACGCGACCACGAAAGATGGTAGGTGGACTGAAGGCCGTGCTTTTCCCATATCAGTTTTTTTCTCCCTGCACAAGTTTCGGAGATGTAGCATCTAAGTATTCTACATCCGCCGTCTTCTTCTCGTTGTTGTTGTTTTTTTGTGGCTGCTGCTGCTGCTGCTGCTGCTGCTGCTGCTGCTGCTGCTGCTGCTGCTGCTGTTCTTCTTCGTGTTCGTATGTTCTTCCATATTCTTCCTAGGCGCATTCACAACGTGGATGGGACAAAAATGCAAATTCGGGAGGTTGGGCTGCGAACACGGAAGCGTCATCCACTCAACCACCAAACGATTTGACCGATCCATCGCCCTTACGATATAATGAATGAAAGAAGCGAGCATTAGACCTTTCAGCCAATCAGTCTCCCTCAAATTGCTGAAACACTAATCCGTTTCCCTCTCAAAACCACAATAACTGGCTTGGTGGTCAAGGAGCTGGTTGGCTGGTTCAATCATTCGCTCATTGTCATAGCGAGAGAAAGGATTGTTTCAACGGCTTGCTGGATTGCTAAGTTAAAAAAACGGGGCAAGGGATTGTATCATTCTTTACCGGCATTGCGTTCGCATCAATCCCAGGCTGCAAGCGCAAAACCACACACTCTACATTGCCCGATGCGCTTCGGCGGCTGCCCTCTATGTTTTAAAGCGACAGCACAATGTAGTCATGCTTGCTGTGGTACAAGTATGTGAGATTTTAGCTGTTGGTACGATTTTGCTGCAACTCGCCTCGGCTGATATCGGAATAAAACTCTTAGGTTTAGGGTGCTGGAGTTTCAGTTTCCTTGCAGGGAGACCTGGAGTTCGTCAATCCTGGGAACCAGCATCTGCCCCTTCAAGCGGCCCCCTACTGAGCATGCGAGACTCGGCGATTTGCAGGTCTTGCTCGTCGCGTCTTGATCCTTCGTGTAGAGGTGTACTTGCCTCGCATCTTCGAAGTCTCAAGCATCGCCTTCCTGGTACTTGTCCAAGCCACGGCCGTGCTGGCATGGTTTGGTACGCTTCGTATGCTATGAAAACAGGTGCCGGACGTGGGGTCTTGATGCAGGCTGATTAAATCTGGGGTTCATTGGGAGTGGCTCCTCCTCCGGCATTGTGTTTGTCGTCCAGCTTGCTTTAATGCGCTCGAAGCCCAACAGAAACAACAACCCGGATGTCCCGGCCCGCTTGCCAGCTCATCATGATGTGCAGCGTGGGGTCGGGCGAGCGGCACAAGCTCCATGTCCTGCTCATGGCTGCCACCGGCGTGAAGGCCTGCAAAAGTCGTCACTCTTGGGAACATCTCAGGAACTGTTTGAAGAGCTGCATCTTTGTGACTCTGCATCAAGTCGAGGAGCTTTGTTGGGTCGTGTCATGTATACATGGCTAGAAGTCCCACTGCTTACCAGTGTATGCTGCACGGCATGGCGCGGCAGGGCCCCCTTTAGGCCTTAGGAACGCCCTGAACAAAAGGCGAAGCTTCGGAGCCATGGCCGGCAGCGGCTCCCCGGCCAGGAAGCGCCCGCGCAGTGGCCAGGCCAGGCCAGCGAAAGACTGACGATCTCAGAGCCCTGGGTAATGAACAAAAAGCTCACAGCCACTGTCACAGACCCTAGGCCCTAGGCCCTAGACTTTCTTGGCCCTTGGAGCGGCAGGACACTCAGCGGAGCAATCAGGTGCACCAGGAGGTCCTGGACTTTCTCAGTGACACGCTGACAACAGCCTCGCAGAAGGTCGCCAAGTCTTATCTGCGCATGAAGGCTGCTTACGAAGAAGAGCAGGAGGCGTTGGTGGTTCAGGAGGCAGACCTCGCCCTGGCACTTCATGCGCTGCGTCAGACAGGCTCGGAGCTCTGCCGACGTCAGCTCGAAATTGCAGAGACTCGCGCTCGGACGGATGAAGCCGGACGTGCGCTGGACAGTTTACAGCCCGTGGCCCGTCTTGTGGAGAGCGTCAAGGTGCTCTTGGAGAAGGGCCCCCAAGATAGCGATGCAGACGGCACCAGCGGCACCATGCGCACGCTGCAGCAAGCCCTGCGCAACCTCGGAGAGAACTCACTTGCCGACGTGGCGCCCAAGGTCCTTGGCATGGAGCCCCGCCTCCGTGATGGCTTTGCCAAAACAGTTGAGCATCACTTGGTGCAAGAGATCACCAAGCTCGAAGAAACAGTGGCCGAGATACTCGGGTTGAATTTAGTGACTGAGCTTGTCAGATAATGTCAGCCATCGCTGAGATGTTTATGCACTATTTGTCTTTTGCTGAGGGCGAAATCTCGCTGCGTGGCGGCCTCGCAGACGTTTCAGCGCGCACAGGCGGCATTTGCAGACGCCACCCGCGCAGACAGCTACGCCGCTGAAGAGGTGTCGCGCTGCAATCATCCCTATTCTTGGAGGTTTCTGTTTGGAGGCCTGCAAAATCAGCCTCCCGTGCTTGACAAAGTGAGGTGCGCAAGAGGAAGGCGGCCTACGAGGTTTGAGAGAGCATTGCAAGCTTCAAAGTCGGGGTCCTATCTGCTGGCCGATGCTGGCCGTCTCCAGCCAGGACCACCATCGACGGGTGAGCACGCACAGAGAGGCCCTGATGCACGCAGAAGAGAAGGACCCCGGAGTAGCTAGAGGCTTGGTATCGGACCGCACAGAGTGGTGTCAGTTTTTGGACTGCCTCCAGGACGCATGCTTTAGCCACCTTGTGGCACCGTTTACCTGGAAGACTTTCAGCTGAAGATTGCTTTTCCAGGTTCTGGCAGCGTCACTCTATCCGAAGCATATGAGCATGTGCGATGAACGCAAAGTCCTCCAACAACCGACACATAAACAACAGCATCAACAGCGTTATTGAATCCGAGTCTGTTCGTACCGACTTGGAGACACGTGGAGACACTGATTCCGAAGCTATTCTTGGATGAGAGGCCTTCACGCATGTTGGCCAGGCATTCTGAATTAGGCCCCCTCGAGCTTTCCAAAAAAAAAACAGGGGACGTGGCGGTGAGGTGCTGTCTTTTTTGTGGCTGCTCCTGATTTCCATGGGACGTCCTGTGAGCCTGCTGGAAGAAGGGTATGTTGAAACATCTGAAACTGTCTTGCGAGCACCTTTGAAGTCAATCTGGCTTGCTGGTCGGACGCTTGTTGCATCCCTACTGGTTCGCAACATCGTGATTCATAGAGTCCATAGTCGTACTCTTGGCCTTGCAAATGCTGCTTGGATTCTTCCCGGGTCGGGATGGAAGCCCGAGTTTCATTCTCCCTGTGCTGTGTTCTCTCATCACATGGCGCGACCTTGCAGGGATTTGTGCATACGTTCTTGCCAGAGACTTCACTACTCCTCGGTCCAAGATCTTACAGGAAAGATGCAGACAGAGAAGCTACTGAAAGCCAAGGACTTCATCAGCGCATGACAAGTCAGAGAGCGACTCAGGCCAGGCCATTGTCGGGGTGAGCCTCAGTTACATTGGTAGTGAAGGGGGGTTAGTGGCGGAGAGCTTTGTCGCGTCGTGGCAGGTGAAGGATCAACGTCTGCACCCGAGACTCCCCATGCAGCGGGCAGATGGGAACACGAAGACACTTCGCGGCGTTTGGATTAATTCGTTCTGTTGCGACAGTGACATGCCACAGCAAATGGATCCGACTGGCAAGGAGAGACCAACACCTCCCAAGCCCATTCGCTGCGTGGACGAAGAGCAAGATTTGGCTTGCGCGTTCAAGGCAACATGCCCCGCCCTGCAGCTGCAGGGTTTGGGAGGCCAACTCAGCTGAAGTTGCTGGAAGGTCTGGGCCCCTGTAGGCTGTGAGCTGTGCAGTTATCGGCATGCCGATGGGGCTTAATTCACTTGCACGATGTACAGCCGCCGCCGTTGTACGGAACTCACTTGTGAAACTTGTGTGGCTTAGTGATTCTGCTCTACACGGTTTCCTTCTCAAAGTGGATACGTGTGAGTCCGTCTGATGGACCTGGCTCGTAGGGCGCCTCATCATGGCACAGGATGAGATCTGCTTTGTGCATACACTCAAAAGCTTTTAAAGCCAATCACCTGTGAACCTGCCGATGGGGGAACCTTTTAAGGATTTGACCAGGCGGCAAGTCGAAGTCGGAGGTTCACGGGCAGCACGGTGTCGACAGTGTGGTACGCAGAAGGCTCCGTTATGTGCAGAAGCAACAGAAACGGCCTGTTGTGCATACAGAAGGGAAAGAAAGCTGCTGGCCAATGATATTGTGTCCTCGGACCGGCGCATCTTCGGGAGGCCCTCGAGCTGGCAGCGAAGGCAAATACCTACCATGCCAGATCCTGAAAGCACCCCCTCCCGAAGAAGCGCCCTGGTCCCTGAGCAGCGGCCCAGGCCCTGGCACAGACAGGCGAGGTTGGGGAATGGAAGCTGCAGGCGCAGCTGTTGTAAGCGACTGCCGACGCTGGTTCTCACAAGCAGCCATCTTGGCAATTCCTGGCAGTGCCTGCGACAGGCTTGTTCGTTCTTGAGCGACTTGCACGGTCTCTTCGAGCTGCTCCTCCTGGGGCTAGTGGCGTTAGGCGCACCTGTGCTGTGAGCTCACATGCGCCGTTCCATCTGGCTATTTCCATGCGAACCTGCCTATGTCTGCTCATCTTGCAGCTTTGAAGCGCTCGTAGGTAGGACCTCGGGCCACGATAAGATGAGAATAAGACAACTGCCAGAAGTGATGTGAAGCCATGCCATCTCAACAAGAGGAAGCCGCAGCCACATGATGCAGTTCTTTCTGTCTGCAATGACTCGACATGGAATCAGCAGACGTTCCCTGGGCTTAGGCAGGGACGGTGAGAGTTCGAATTCAGCTGAAAGGAGGTGTGAAGGCTGTTGCAGGTGTTTTTCGTGCCAGTGTGAAAGCTTGGTTGCAGCTCAGGTGCGGGTGCACGGATCCACTGATCCTGATGGGCTACTGGCAAGAAGCGAAAGCAAAGCTAAAGGCTCTCTCTTTCTTTGCTCTCTTTGCTTTGTGAGGCCTCCGGGACTTGGCCAAAGGTAGTGACTGTCTATGTCCCCATAATACTGCTACATACATACACACAGACATGCATCAAAGCTACACATGCATGCATGCAGGCATTCATAATGACATTCATGATCGACATAATCATTCATATCTCATAATCATAGATAGCCATACATGCATATACAGTTACATATGTACATACTTACACACATATGTGCATCAATACACCTGTTACTGCTGTTGTAGTGATAATGTTAAGGAGACGTGCCTTTGCACAATGCACACGCCGTACCTTTGGTTATCCTTACATATCCACAGTTCAAGTTCACGCTTGTGTACTTACAGTATACTTGCATACACACGTATATGTTTATGTATATGAAGCAAATGTGTACAACACAGACCGTATGCGCCAGTTTCAAGGGTAGAATATCAGAACCAGTATTGATATATGATCACTTAAAGCAACACTGAACGGAGGAAACTGCTGAGGAGCGTGCTGCGGCTAAGGACAGTGAGCTGCTACTCTGACTTCTAGTACTGGTAAATGTAGTAGTAGTAGTAGTAGT